GCTCTCCCTCGGACACGAGCTGGGCATATTCGAGACAGAAGGAAGCAGCCCACCAGCCAACGAACCGGAATGGAGAGATCAGATGGCAATTCGTTGGCAGCGCGTGCAACGTCTGCTATACGTCTACATTAATCAATTGGCTTGGCGGATCGGATGCATGTCACCGATTCCTCAATCATTAACCCATGCTATACTAGGCGGGCGGAAGCCGCAAGGACTGAGTCCACCGGGCAGCACATGGTTGACGTTCATGGATTCGTGGATTGAGCTTACCAAGCTAGCAAAGTCTGTCACTGATATGTTCTTCCCCTCTGCCGCGTTTGCACGCCAGCAACTGCACAGCGGCCGATATGTCGGTCTTCTTGAACATTTCCGACCTCTCCTCAACCAGTGGAAAGACAAGTACCTGCAGCCCCAGGTACTTGATAAAGCATTCTACAACGATCTATTCATCGAATACCATTTCGTCCGCGTCTACACCCATTCAGTGGGAATGCAAGCAGTAGTGGAGCGTGCTGTCGCAGAGAATGACCCCAACAATTTTGACGGAGTGCGACCCATGACCATCGACTCAACAGACTACGAATACATCCAAGAGGTGATCGATGGATGTGGCCAGATCTTGCAGAAAGTCACCCATCTGGCCGAGGCAGGGGCGCTACGGTTCTCTCCAGTTCGAATAGTTCTTCGCATAACTAGTGCTTCGATATTCCTGATGAAAGCGCTCAGTCTGGGCACACGGCAGGCCAAGCTCCAGGAATCAATTGAAATATTAGAAAAGAGCATCAAAGCACTCAAGTCGAATGCTTTAGATGATGTGCATCTGAGCACGCGCTATGCCGCGCTGCTAGACATGCACGTATCGCGCTTGCGACGGAATCTGCTCGCATCGTCGAAAGTCGCGAAAAGTCGAGACGCTCCGCGAAGTTCACCCATGGGGCCCCCTCCTTGGCCGGAAACTGGTGACCGGTCAAATCCCATAAACACCCCTGTATTGCAGGGCCCACCACCGGATATGGGATTTATCCCGTCCTTGAATGATATTGGTGCAGATAACTGGCTTTCGCTGCCATTCGACCCATCGATGGCGCCGTTTGATATGACCCATGGATGTCAATTTCCGATGTATGAAGGTGGAGCATTAGACTTTATCTGGAATTTGCCATCTTGATATAGTCCGCTCTGTACACAGAGTATTCAATTAGATAGCTTTGTAAATAGCCCTGTATGGTCGCAATTACGCGATGTTGATAGATGATACCCCAGTTCGGACAATGTTACTCCGCTTTATATTTCCCCGCACCAAACACAACCAACTTCAGAAATCCAACCAGCGTAATTACCCAGCAAGATGTCGAAACCAGCGTCATTTAAACCTACCCTTATCATCCACGGCGGCGCCGGAAATATCCAACGCTCCAAACTCCCCCCAGACCTCTACGCCGCCCACCACGCATCGCTCCAATCCTATCTCCGCTCTACACACACCCTCCTCAAAAATGGCAGCACAGCTCTGGACGCTGCCGTCCACGCCGTCTCGCTCCTCGAAGACGACCCTCTCTTCAACTGCGGCCGCGGCAGCGTCTTCACAACAGCCGGCACAATCGAAATGGAAGCCTCAGTAATGGTCACATCCGTGCACCAATACGACGCAACACAACCAGGCGCAATCAAGCGCGGCGCGGGTGTGATGGGCGTCCGTAATGTGCGTCATCCAATCCGTCTCGCGCGCGAATCGCTTCTCAGATCGGGTGTCGCCGCCGATGGATCGCCTGTAAATGATGGAGGGAGTATGCATTCCCAGCTGATTGGTCCATATGTTGAGACTCTTGCTCGGGAGTGGGGACTGGAGTTTTGTCCCGATGAGTGGTTCTTCACGCAGAAGCGATGGGATGAGCATATGAGGGGCTTAAAGGGGGAGGAGGAGCCTGTTTCGCTGACTCAGGGGACTGTGGGTTGTGTCTGTCTTGATCAGTGGGGGAATCTGGCTGTTGCCACTAGTACCGGTGGTTTAACGAACAAGTTGCCCGGAAGAATTGGCGATACGCCTACCTTGGGGGCTGGGTTCTGGGCTGAAGCCTGGGATGAAATGGTGCCAGGTGCTGGTGAGGCAGCACAGGAAGATTCTTTGGTGGGTGGATTGCTACGCGATGCGAGGAATTGGCTGGGTGATTGCATGCCACCGTTCTTGCGAAATCAGACTATACCTATTTACTCGTCTCTTTCGGGTGATGATACCTCTCAGGTGGACTTGGGGTCCGAGAAGGCTTGTCATCCTTATCAGTCATCTGCTCAGTCCTCTCGTCGGCGGGCCATTGCGGTTTCTGGGACTGGAAATGGTGACTCGTTCCTTCGGGTTGCTGCTGCGCGCACGGCTGCTGCAATGCTACGGTTTTCTTCGCCCGGCAGCTTCCCTTCTGGCCTTGCAGATACAGTGACGGCTGTTTCTGGGCCTGGTGGTGAGCTTCAATGTTCCGCTGGCACCAGGTGGAATAAGACCGGTGAGGGCGAAGGAGGTGTTATAGGTATAGAGGCAGAGCTTGCTCCTGTAAATAGGGCATCGGATGCCAACCTACATCGGGGTAAGGTTGTATTTGACTTCAATTGTGGTGGTATGTGGCGTGCTTGGGTAGAGGAAGATGCTGCTGGCAAAGAAGTTGAGAGGATTATGGTCTTTCGAGAGAAATATCAATAGAATAGATTTCCTCCAGTTAGGGCTCATATGTTAATAGTATATCTTCTCTTTCCACGAGTATATGAAAACTACAAGAAGAACATACAGTAGACACGTAATTGCTTGCCGGTGTTCGTTGCATAAACTAAATGATGATTGAATGTCGGAAGTTATGATAATTGAGGCTATATATTTTCAAACCCACCCCGTGAATCTTTAACTCGCGGACTAGAAGTCTCAACAGAAGCGATTTACATGTAACGAACGTACTTATCTAAATTATTCATTGATTGCGGTCTTATGTCTTTCAATGGCCACATAGATTAGAGCGACTCGGTAGAGCTAAGAAACCTCAAAATTGGAAATAACCCAGTGCGCTATTCTTGGATGTCTGTGCTCGAGGGGATCTGGATTGATAATGAAATGTACCACTTAGCCTCATGCACCAGTACTAGCAAAGCAAAATATACACATGGCGGGTACATGCTTACCTGCTTCGCAGGAGCCGGAGGCGCTTTGCCTGCTCTTACATCGTCGCCAGACACCCGGAATCATTCATATATCCGAAGCCACATTTGCAAGTATCCCTGGTTAGACAGCCTGCAGCGCAATTCTAGAAAAGAGACAACAAGCAAAGATTAGACTTAGTTTCAAGAAAATTATAAATGCTGAATTAAGATATACCGGCTCTGGTTCGGGCCCTGTGATAGGCATCATAGGTGTATCAGGCACACTTCGTAAAAAGGAGTTGTTTGCGGGTATAGACAAAATGAATAAAGTGTGCCTGCCTTCAAGGACGAACATCTTTATAAAACTTCACAACTGCTCATTGTGACCGCCTCATTGTGACCATTGTAAGCGGGGTATTTCACCCTGGTTGTGCTTATCTGCATGCTACCTTTCCTTTTTGACTCATTCGTACATAGATGGCGTTGTGCTAAAATTTAGTCTGACACGTGGATAAATGAGGGATTGCGCTATACTCCACATCAAGGTCTGAGGAGTTATACCTTTTCTTGAGGACCAATCAATAAATGAGGCAACGGCCGGGTACTGGCTGCACTATATCCTATAGCCTCAGCCACGTAACCAGTCGGCGGCAATTCCTAAATTAACGTGGTTGCAAAGTTGGTGCCCTAGGTATGTAGTCAGACTACTCGTGTAGAAATAAGTTTGTCATAGACGAAGAGGTCAAGCACCCACCTTAACACATTTCGATAATCCATTCTCTCATGTCTATAAATCACTGATCATGACCACCCTAAATATCTCTGTGTGGACCCAGGCAGTAGATGTAAGTCTATGAAGTTTTGAGACTGTTCTTTGCACCTCGCCGAGTGGAAGGATAGTATTTGACTAACAAGTCATAAGTTATACAATACGACTCTAACAAAAGATCCCAAGAAGAAGATTGATGTGAATGCAGGATGGGGGACTGATATTCACACTCTTTCAAGTGTTGATCAGCTCATTGACTTTGCCCGTGACACAAAGGAATGTGCCGAACAGAAAAAATGGAAATTTTCGAGCCGAGTTGACGAGATACTACTCTGGTTCAATCGAAATGCGTCTGGTATTTTTCATCCTGATATTTTATGTATGAAGATATGCTAAGTTCTACCTGCTAGTGGTGGACGTACTGATCCAACACCAGCCACACATAACAGCCCTAGTATGGGGTGGCATCCGAAGCTTGCTTTCTGTCCGTTTTACCATATGTACACATGGAAAGGTTATGGCAAGTCTAACTTGGTTTGTTCAAGCTTTACAGGTCGCCATTAGAGAGATCGAAATCTCAGACAAAATAGGCTCGAGCCTTCTTGACCTATTGAAGCATATAGGGCGCTGGGAAACCTATCTTCAGCTGTGGCCAGCTAGTCCGCGTCTCTCAACGGCTTTGGTCCAGCTCCTAGCACAAATCATCAACTTCCCTGTCCGAGCAAGCATATACCACCAGATACCTCCACATAGTGAGTTGTAGCCATTTCTTCCTTCGGCACCTGGAAGCATAATTTAAGCATAATTAGGCTAATCAGCTTGCATGCCAATGATAGAGCGATATGCGAAAGCTGCGTTCACATTTTTCAATGAGAAAGTAGAAAATATTGGCAGAGAACGCAGAAAAAGAAGCATTGCTCCCTTCACAAATTGGTATGCGTCAGAATTCCGGTGAGATTTTGTTTCTAACCACATATCGAACTAGAGCAACGAAAACAGATCGCTCGTGTTTCGGCAAACTCTAAAACGCAAGTGCGCATTAGTGAAGGTAAGCCACGAGATAATGAATTATCTGAATGACACGGTCCACCCTGTCCTTCAAGGCCAAATGCGCGTCCTACGGAACATCAATCTCAAGTGTGAAAACCTCACCGTAATGTCGAAGAATACCCAAAACAGTGAGTATCCTCCCAATGGGTGACAGATTACCTGACTTTTGAAGACCAGGAATCTGTAATGGTGGCGTTGACATCCTACCTGGAAGACGCTCAAGGTAACTATATTACCGCACAATGCTGAATAATTGGCAGGAGCTGATTCTGAATTCAGCCCACGAGATCCAAAATCGACAGAAAGCTGCAATCAGATGGATTCGATCAGGTTCCTCGCCAACTCCAAATCTTTCTCATTGGGAAAAGGATACGTGTGAATGGATCACTACCCACAAAGTGTTCCTGGATTGGAAAGCTGGCGATTATCAAACCCCATTGTGGATTCATGGGATACCTGGTAGGTCGTTATTTGTAAACTAGAATTGAACCTCCGAATACTGAACAAACCTTCTCGTCCCTAGGGTGTGGAAAAAGTGTCCTAGCCAGCTACCTAATGCATAATGGCTTCAACCCTGCCGACACACCAGGGGGCGTCTTCGGCTATTTTTTCCAGAAGTCCCAGGATTCTTCTACGCCTTCAGATATGGTATGCTCCATTGTTACGGACATTCTGACATCTCCCGCTCTGAGGAAATCAAAAAGGCTCTTTGAGGCCATATCAAGCATCGAATGCCTGATGGACCGATACACTAAAGGGACTGATTGTTCTCTGGATATTACTTGGCGGATACTGGAATCCTTGATGGCTAAAAGCCCAGGAGTTTCACTTATTGTGGATGGAATTGATGAGTGCGCTGAGAATGCAGATGTGAAGAAGCTGCTACAGCATCTCGGCAAGATGGCCCAAACGACCGATGCTCGAATTATTGTCTGTTCCCGATACTCCAAACACATCGAGCAATCATTGGGCTCTCGTGCCGTCATATATATTGAGCCCGATCATGTTGCTGGTGATATCCAATCCTTCGTCACAGCTGAAATCGACCGAACAAGGCGGTTGGCCGGGATCAAAGACAGGCTGTTGGCCAAGTGCGCCATTCATTCCCAGGGAATGTTTTTATGGGCACGGCTGATGCTAGATGCCGTAAAGGCGGCACCCGATGTCAAGACCCAGTTACAGATCATGGAAAGCTTCCCACCGGGGCTTGACTCGGTTTATGCTCAATTTATCAACAAGACAGGCCATAGGCTCGATAGCGCCCATCTAGACATTCGCCGGCAATTTTTCACTTTGATTGCAGGAGGCTTGCAATTTCTGGCCATCGACGACATTGGTACAGCAATATGTTTAGATGTTTTCCATTTGTGCAAAGATAAAAATCGTGCACTTTTCGACATTGAAACCGAACTGGGCAATCTTTGCGGCCCTCTTGTGGTCACAACAGACGGAACTGCTCGATTAATCCATGCCTCAGTCAAGGATTACTTGATTAAATTCGAAAAGCCAACTTCCTTGTCCATCAATCTTGATGCTGCCACCACAAATCAATTCATGGTCACTCGATGTTTGTGTATGCTGATGCTGCCTGAATTTAACAGTCGCTCGCTCATTTCTGATTTACTTCAGCAAAGTATGTACAAGTACAGCGAGGCTGTGGACTCTGACATTGGTGTAGAATCTCCATCTACATTACAGGGCTTCTACAAATATGCAGCTCTCAATTGGCATTCACATCTGGTCGCCCTATCCCAGCCGCCCTTGCACATCCTGAAGCTTATGGCCAAATTTTTCAAGAGTCGCCAGTTTGTTACATGGGCCGAAAGCCTCTTCTTACTGCGGGGAGGGCTTCACGGTGCTCCAGCTATGGATGTTGCCAGCTACTTGAACTCCTGGCTTGCTCTCCAGCCACCGTCATCGAGAGAAATTGTGCCGATGAATGATTATGTTGAGTCAGCATACGGCCAGCTGGTCGAGGATAGCAAAATGTCAGAAGAATTTCCTTTAGCGATCGCCTTCCTCCGTTCCAGATTGGCAGAGTATTGTGCTTGGACAGCAAACCTAAGCGATAGTGCTTTCAATCTGTTGATAACTGCGGCAAAAGGCCTTGAAGACCAGCTGGGACCACATCAGATGACTCTAATGGCCTTGGATGCTCTGGCGACAGGTAAGAGCTTGATACTAGTGTGGAGTCAAAGCCGAGAACGGTATTTCTAAACTTTCTTCTTCAAGGTACTTTGGTTCGCGGACTCAATGAACAAGCGGCCCAGTCAATTATTTTCTGGAGGCGTTTCCCTTGTCCCAGGATCATATTGACGCCCGATGCACCCGGCCCTCCTAAAATAAATCAGCTTAATATTTGTAGAAGTTTCTCTGTCGAACTTACCTGGGTTGACCAGAATAGCTCCTCCATATCTGGGGTCCGTTACCGATACCACAGCAGGGAGTTTAATTATTGCAAGGGCAACCTTCTCTTCGCCATTATTTGTGCTGTTCCAATCCATCGGTACCTCGAGGCGGGCGCATTGGTAGCTATCGAAGCACGGAGTATATGACAGTTTTTCCGACGGGGTGATCTAACGACAATGTGGAATGAGCAATAATTTGTTAATCCAGCGACGAACAAGCCATACCAATCCCCAAGGAGACACATGGGATCTGTCGTCCATTAAGCCACCTAACTGTGGAGTGTCAGGTAAAAAGTCATGATTAACCGTCCGATAAAACCATGCAAGTAGCCAAGGTAAACCAAAAAACGAACAACCCAGGAGGATCATGGGCCATTTTCTCTGGCCTCGAAGATAGATGGGATATTGTGGTCGTACATCGTTGGGTGTTTGTTTTCCCATATTTGCAGTGGCAATGTGCAAATATAAGTGTTCATAACCCCCCTCGCAACAACAACACAGCTGGTTGAGGTTATTTGAACCCGTGGAACCCCGTGGGGCGATGTTGCGGCTCCACATGTATTGGCATTTACCACGTGACCAAGCACTGGCTGCTGCCTCAGGTATCAACTCGAGCTTCTAGTCGTGTTTTAATATGCATATTTGTACTTTCTTGATACGTATATGCTTGGTATAACACTCCACATAAATACAGATTCGGGCTAATTATATACAAAAACACTCCGGTAGCTCGCCTTGAACGATGTAAAGACGAAACCACCCAGAATACCAGCGATATACTGCAAGAATCACAAAGCCAACAAGCACATCTGATTCAGATCTACCATCCCTCCAACGGCGTAAGCAAAGCAAGCACCCCGTCTTTAGGGGAAACAGTGGCGCTTTCCCGAATCTCCAATTTAGCATCAGGATATTTGAGCTCCATGTGGAACCGACCGACAACAGCAGCAATCAAGCAAGCAAGCTCGGACTTCGCAAAGCCCTGCCCAATGCAACTCCGTGGACCATGCAGGAAAGTCAAAAAGGCATAATTACTGACCGCGCCGCCGGTATTAGCCTTACCGGGACCCATAAAGCGGTCCGGGTTGAATTCGTTCGCATCTGGTCCCCACAGCTCTTCCATCCGGTTCAGGATTTGCGGAGCAATGATCAATACCGTATCCTTGGGAATGTGCGTGTCGGCAAGAGTTGTGTCACGGACCGCTTTGCGTATGGTTAACGGAACAGAGGGGTGGAAGCGGAGGACCTCGTTGCACACTGCGTTTAGGTAGGGCAGGTTATCAACCGCGGCTGCAGAGATTGGAGTTGGATCGTCGAGGGAGGGAAGATTGGCGCGGATTTCATCTCGCAGACGAGTTTGGACGTTGGGGTTCTTGCAGAGTGCGTAGACGGCCCACTGTAGCGCTGTGGCAGTTGTCTCGTGGCCTGCACCTAAGAAGGTCATGGATTGGTCGACAAGGTTTTCTTCGTCGAAGGTGCCGCTACTTAGTGCGACGGAGATAATGTCAATGCCGGTTTCGGGTTTGGGGTCTTCCATCTTTGCCTTCTTCTGTCGGATCATCTGACGTGCGACGTTGCGGATGATCTCGCCACTCTGCTTGATATCCTTGTTGTGTTTCGTCGGTAATGAGTGGGCCCACGATGGATTACCGAATAGCACACATGTTACAAAAATGATTTTCATAATGAGCGGTGGCGAGGACATGATTTTGCGGTAGGATTGGTTGAGGGTGTTCTCAGGATCACGAAGAGAGTCGAAATCATGGTCCATACCGGCGACGCCGATGATGTCCAGGGTTGCTCTACTGGCCCAGTTACTGATTTGGACAGTTTTGTCGTTATTGCCATCGGCCTTTCTGCTCCGAAGGTCATCCTCAATCATCTTCACCATTTCTACACTCTTGGCCCAGAAGACTGGGTAGAGGTTCTTGATGTGGCGATAGGCAAAGGCTGGCATAAGATTCTTGCGTTGCGTCTAGTACATTGTAAGTTTGAGTCCATGGAAGCGGGATTTCGGGGGCCAGATTTACCTTGTGCTCTTCACCTTCAGCAAGTAGAATTCCATCACCTGTGATACGCCGCAAGCTCTTCCGAACCAATTCTGGTTTTTCAAAGTCGTACACTTTCGTAACAAGAAGCTCGCCCAATGATTTTGGGCTTGTCAAAATCACTCTTTCGACATTTCCGACAATATAGTACCGCAAGAGATCTTGATTGGGTCTGCCTTTGGCCCACTCCCGTAGCTGCGGAAACGGGGTCTCAAGCAAGAAACTTGGAGAATTGCCGGTGAGCCAACTTCGACCCTAGATAGCATTAGACAAATTGACAATTCCATATGAAAAGGGGCTGGCCTACCGGAGGTGAATAAATGTGTTTCAATGGAGTGAAGTAATCAGGATATAAGACAAGCCGATAAACAATCCTCGACACAGTAATAATCCCAAAAATGACAGCGACCGTCACAACCCTGGAATTGAAGATAGCATACTCCGGTTTGAAGTAGATCCCGGCGGCGAGGCCAAGATAGAGAATGGGGAGGCTGTCGCTGATGCGTTCCATTGCTAGATTTCTTTCGGGGGATCCGGGATAAACGGATATTGTGACTTGACGGCTCAAATCACATATATAGAGAGTAATAGATGATATCTTACTGGATATCCAACACTGCTTTGGTTTTGATTAGGTGTCCAGTAGCCAGTGAAGAGCCCCGTGTGGGGTTTAGACGAAACGACAAAGTGCTCGGCTCTCGTTGGCTCCGGCTAGATCTGAATCCTATACGGAGTACAGTCTTAGAGATAGCAACGAACGCGCGTAGGTGACCTCTGCACAGCTGAAATGAGTTTGATTCGAGAAATTCCACGAGAGATGATACAGTATGGCTTTGAGATGGTTGCCTGGAGTGGGACATACGAGAAACACGGGAACAGATAGAACCTAAACGAAAACGACAGCAATTACTACTTGGGTATGTTATAGCTCAAAAATAGAAAGAGAAACCGATGATATACCGACTATACAAATATCATATGTACCGGATAATGCCTGGAACTTGAACCCTTTCCCTTTCCGATTTAGTGCTTACCTCTTACCGCTTTTTGATCACTGAGTAAAACAGAGCACGTCTCTGAGTAGTTATCCTGACTTGATCACGAGCTATTATATAATCAACTGATCTGCTTAGTTAACGTAATTCACAAGCGAGTGGCCACTACAAGCGAGTGGGCTTACAGCTGATCGAATGTTAGAATGGGACCGCTAATTTAGCGTGAAGGAAAATATATTAATCCGTGTTAATCCGCGTTTCGACCATCTATCTGCTCAGAGGGGTCTTAGCGAATGTCGAGATCTCTCTTTATACTAGGATGTCTTCATAGCTTATAATAGACGTTCATAAAGACCCCGTGATCATTATTTACAGTATTATCTTTACCACTAAATCCTATCTTCTTCTGTACTAGGGTATTATAACCCCTAAAAGAATCCCGACATTCGCTGATGTCTGACATTCGCCGAGCTCTCGGAATTCGGATTAATACATGTTCCTCTGGGCCAAGAGGCGCTAAAAATTAGCGGTCCCATTCTAACATTCGACCAGCTGTCGGTCGTTGTTTTAGTTCTGTAAGCTCCCGCCTTAGGGTACCTTACATAAGCATGACGTCAATGTTGCCAACGCTCCTTCCTTCTACCTACAACTTCTCAACGATCCTTCCCGAAGCTACAACCTCGACGTTTCACGATTTTCGTTGCCTCCTTCCCACCTGTCTTCACCATGTCGTGCTTTTCGTGTCCAACTTCATCGCCTCAACAACCTGGTTCCCCCACTTCCCATCTCCCTGAAGCTGATCACGATGAAATAAACAAGTCTTTACGCCCCATCCAAGTCTCTGCAGCGAACATCCCAACTGCTGTGCGTGTCTATTCAACCATCCAAAGCCTCATCCAACGCGAACGAATCAATACCCCTGATCTACTCGTCATTACCCAGCTAAAGCCACATGTCGGTACACAACTATGGCAGAAATTTGAACAACTCGAATCACCGGCACTCCGAAAGTCCTTTGATCCTAATACTGGAACCTTTATGATCAAAATGCCTACACCGCTACATAATTGTGCCCTAAAATGGTTCCAAGACGCACGAGACAAGTGGATAGAAGCCGGGCTTCTGACGACAGCCGAGAAGAGAATGATGAATGCCCAAGTCGCGGATACGATCACACTCACACGGGGCGTCTACGCTAATTGTCTGAAAGAACCTGATGTACATGTGAACGTCCATGGTCTCAATCTTCCCACGCTCTGCTTCGAAATCGGATATAGCGAATCAAAACCCCTTCTTGAAAGTGAGATGCGAAGACTACTGATCGGAGGCCAGGGTGATATTACTGCTGTGATATTGATTAAGTGGTACAAGAGACGAGCCGGTGTTGCTGGTACGATTGAACTTTGGCGACTGGACAACAACGGTAATCCACTCAAAGAACAGGATGAAGCCATTTTCCCGGTACCTTCCTCTCCTCAACCGCCCATTAAAGTCACACGGAAAATGTTGTTCGGAAATGCTCTTTTACCGGGACGTCCACCACTTGATATTTTTTCATTCTCACTTGATGATTTACGCATGGAGGCGCAAATTGCTATGGCTAAACAGTCCCTTCTTCCTCTTTGAACGGTGGATACGGCGTTTACTTCTCTTACTTTTATTCCTAATCCAATCGCTCTTGTTCCTTTCTGGATAGATGATATAGAACTTCCGCCATTCCTTATAGTTCAAAATGTAGTGTGACGAAAGCAGTGAACTTTCTAGAAGAAATAGGGCCGATTTTTCACCCAGCCTCAGCGAGTCTTTTTAGCAATGGCAGACTTAGGTCTCCCCTGAGTAGGAATAGCCAACTCCTCATAGTATGGCAGGTCCCATGAATTCTGTTCGCGCAAAACCCATTGCGCAACTGCATCAATGCCTAGCAACGCAGGTGCGGATCCGCAAACCGCAGATCCGATCTCGAAGATCGCGACGCTGATGACTAGGTACCACGCAGATGCTCAAAATTGCACAAGCCACTTCCTCTTTCGGGTGCCTCTTGAGCGCAACGAATCCAGGGCACCAAAGTACTAGAGCCCGTTTGGAGTGCTTGGAATATTCGCCCGAGAATTTGGGGTATTTTGATTTGGGGGAGAGATCCTGTCTTTTGCTCACCTCAGACAATATCTTCCACTAGGCAGGGGTATAGTTACAATAGCGCCCGACATCGCCTTCCATGCCGTAAACATAGAGATGCTCTTTCAAACCCTAATCACATGATCCTCCAAATCCAGATATGGTTACGCCCGTACTTAGATCATGTTTCGGTTTTCAACGGTAAAATTCAAACGGACGAGAGCTGTAATGTTATGTATTATTACTGATCCAAAAATAACCACGCCCGCCTTGTTGTCGTCCCGACTCAAGCGTCCCAACCCAGGCAAGAATCAACCCCTAAACCGTTGCAAAATGGCGCGAAACGTGAATCCCTGACAGCATAAGATGATTGTACATATGATAAGCAGCAAGAACAGACTCACTATGTGAAGGGGTCGAGCCGACTGCATGGGTTGGACGACTTTTCCCCTAGACCAAAAGGTCAACTCAAATTGAATGCTCATTAGCATTCAATAGCCCACGCTCTTATATAGTTTCGTTCTGTAACACGGTAGCCTTTCTTGGCAGATTTTTACTAGGTAAAGCCTAGTAGGAAGGACGGGCATTAGCCCGTGACACACTACATTACGAGTGGCCAAGCTGGCAAAGTATAGTAAGCGTTCTATCACTAACATACGTAAGAACATGCGGTTGTTCGGCAGTCCCAATTCTCCTACAATCCCTTCTGGCCTACCACCAAGCATCACTCCTGTGATGCTGGACGCCCTTTGTGACCACCTCGCTGAAATACCCGGCCTATATATCGAAGAGATGGCTAAGTTCATATAGGATGAATTCAATAATGTGCTCTTTCTCGGGCTGGCTGGACTAAAAAGACTGCCCGGCAGAAAGCCAAAGAATAGAACCCTTCACTACGAGATTTCTACTAGTATAAACTATCCGAGTTTCGTTTGTACCACCTTATTTTCGTTAATGAATCCGGATGTGATAAACGGGTAGGACATAGGCCGACTGGTTGGTCACCACTAGGCATGGCACCAGTATAGGTATCTAAATTTTCATCGGGGCCAAGGCTATAAGATACTGCCAGCATATACTCAAGATGGTATCCTTTTATCTCGTATTTTTAAAGGTTTTATAGTTATTATTATTGTCCACAAACGTCAAAAATAAAGCTATTCCTAGATTACCTTACCAATTCGTCCCATCTATATATAAATGTAAATTCGTCCTATCTATATACAAATGCAAATTCATCTGGTCTTCCCGTAACATACCGATTTGTCTATAAACGTCAAAAATGAAGCTATTCCCAGATTACCTGACCAATTCATCTAGTCTTCCCGCAACATGCCGATTCGTCCACAAACGTCAAAAATGAAGCTATTCCCAGATTACCTTACCAATTCGTCCCATCTATATACAAATGTAAATTCGTCCCATCTGTATACAAATGCAAATTCATCTAGTCTTCCTGTAACATACCGATTTGTCCACAAATGTCAAAAATGAAGCTATTCCGAGATTACCTGACCAATTTATCTGATCTGTATATAAATGCTAATATATCTAATTGATTTGTTTGCTCAATTGGTCTGATCAATTTGTTTGCTTAATTTGTTTGCGTAATTGGTCTAATCAATTGGTTTCATCTGAAATTCAACTATGGGTTTATACGGCATTTCGGTAAGCTGCAGAGTTTTCACCCTAACAATCTGCAGGCTTTGGTCCCAACTCCTTCGTATAATTACACCACAACTAGCAATAAATTACGGTCGCTTTGGACAATGTCGATGTGATGTCAATACACAGATGCCCGTCACATATTCGAAGTTATAAGTCGCATACCCTGCCAACCTAACAAAGGCGATATTATTATAGGACGAAGAATGGGAATATATTATTAAATCGAAACTCAAAACATCACCAAAAAGCAAATTCTCACTCAGACGTCCTTCGACCCTATGATTCTATCAAATTCACCAACCGTATGCTGCCAAACCTTCTGCGCCATCCCCTCCGCGCGAAGTCCAGCCAACAACTTCACAACCTTAGGACCAGCGTGCTCTCCATTCCAGTGAATAGTGTAAACACCACTCCCAACCTTCCCATCCGTCCCACTGGCAACCTCAACCTCCTCCGACAAGGGCACACCAGCGGAATTCCCCGCGGCATCCAAGCAGACACGGGGAGGATACTTAGCACTCGTCGCAAAGAAAAGATGTCTCTCCCCGGACTCCCGAATCGGGATGTAAACCAAAGGCCCGATAACCATGAGCACGACATTCATAAGCCAGGTCAGAAAAGTATTGGACTCGCGCCCAATGCCCGTCTTGACTGCGCCAGGGTAATCGATAATAAATGACACTTCTGGCGCTTGCTCGGCCAGTGTTTCCAAAGCCATATCAGTCATGGACACCACATGTCCACGTAGCTTCAGCATTGACATCGTCCTTCCTTGGAAGTCAGTCACGTCGATGGGACCTTCATGGCCGCCGGCGAGAACGCTGACTACGCGCCGTAGGCCCGTTGCTTGTTTGAGATTGGGGAGGAGGTTGATGATGAATCGTGTTCGAGCGTAGTATGCAGCTGCACCCAGGATGTGGAGGCCTTCGGATGTATCTGTTTGCATATTATGAGCAATAATGTCTTTTTTTATTTTTATTTTCTTGTAAGGGATGTGGGGATGTCCTGCCTACCTTCTCCGGAACGAATAGTTCCACAGCTGAGGAAGAGGATGTTGATACTCTTTTCTTTGTTTTGAAGCTCGCGACAGACCTTGTCGACGTTCCGAATCAAACTGACGTCCGCTTTGATGAAGGTAAATTCTCCCTCCGGGTTCAGCTGTCGGCATTCGGCTGTGATGCGGGCTGCGGCTTCTTGCGACCGGCCGATGAAGTATGCGCGGGGCGATCGTGCTGAGCGGGCGAACTCTTTTAAGGCTGCTTCGCCGATGCCGCTTGTTGCGCCTACGAAGACTGCCACGAGGCCTGCTGGGAGTGTGTCGGCGATGTGGGCATTTGAGGACTGGACGTCTGGTAGAGAGACCATTTTGGATGCTGTGAACTGACACAGGAAATTCTAGCTTCTATCGATTATGGAGGTTAAACGAGGGTATGATCCATGTATTTATACTCCGTATGTAGAGATATTTCTCGTATTGCGCTGTGTTCTATATTCGGTACATCTATAGGCCGTCTCGGTCGGAGGACGGACTTAGCCACACGAGGCGGAGGAATGAAATCCCCCGGGAATTTATCCTTATGAGAATAAAGTTTCGTTTACTTGTCGTATTCAATTAAAACGTGAAGATATAATTAAGAGATTTATTATAAGAATATACAGGAATAGTTGGTCGCTTATTTGGCCTAGACATGTATTTTTTTAGGCACATCACTCGCAACATATTGCGGAATAGGAGCGACTGAAAATCATTTCAAAAAAAACTCATAGATTATTTTGGATCTTGCCATATTCAGGTAAAGCCCATTTCACCATCCATTCTGACTCGAGAATTTGCTTGGTGGTAGGACGATCCCCGGGTCTGAATGAGAGCATCTGTCGTAACATGTCGAAGAGAGCGTCTCTTTCCCTTGCATCAAACGATGGGATCCCCTTCTCTCGCCTGGGCTTTTCAACGCTATCCTCAAACCGATCGTCCCAAGATCGGAAATATGTACGGTTTATTGGCTTACCATCCTCGGTAAATTTATGCTGTCCCGCCTCCCACCTTCTCCACCATTCAGGCGGCAAAACACCAAGAGTATCCACATGCTCACAGGTCATGTCGTCCTCTGTCGCGAGAAATTCTTCAAATAATGGCCGTTGAGCGATGATAGACCATATGGTACAGGCAAGAGTCCAAATGTCCGATGAAAAAGAAAGAGGCTTATTTGGTTCAAAACGAGCCTCGGGGGGCCGGATACCTCAGGGGATGCGAGATTCGTATTTCAGTTCTTTTGAGGGCGAAAAGGCTTCACCAAAGTCTGTAAGTAGGACTCTAGCTTCTGCAAGCGTGGTTTCCTCACTTGCTTCACCTAGCCATATGGGCATAATGCCATGGGATGGGACACCAGGAGGCAGCGATTTGCCATCTAGATGGACAACTGGGTCCAGTTGCGGTTCTCCGTATTTCTCATATAATTGTTCGAGTGAGAGTTGGTCAAAACTGGGCGCAACTTTTAGAAGAATGTTGCCGAGGTGAAGGTCTCCATGGACGATTCCTTGGGCATGCACATAATCTATAACGAGAACGAGTTGCGCAGCCAATGACCGGGCTACATCAGGCTGGAATACGCGGATCCACGAACCATCTTTCAGCCCGGAGAGGCTGGCCCTCGCCGTCGCTGTAACGTAGCAAGCGTGATTGCCATTTGGGCCGCGAATGGTGAAACTATCTAGAATCGAAGGGACCATCGCCTTTCCTGGATTGTTGACTAGAGAACAATGAGGACGAGTGAGAGTGGATAAGATATCCACCTCCTTTGGGTTCGAGTCTGCTATGCAAACTTTTACCGCAACGTATTTATTGGATTGTTCATCACGGGCCAGCCACGTAGTCGAATAAGACCCATATCCTAGCTTATGAACCACTCGATATCGACTGTGAAAGTGTTCTCCGATTTTTATAGGGTGATAGCCCCCTGGTCGATAATCCTCTATTCTTTCGACTCCCTCGAGAGGCTCGTAGAGGAAATAGGCGTTGGAATCATCATCAGTCTCTATTGACTTGAATGCGGTGAGAGTGAACGCGCAGCGTGGTTGATTTTGACGCAGCAGTGGCATGAGCACCTGCCGGCGGATAGGAGAATCTCGGTAACGTAAACCATGCGGGCGTAGCGATCGAATGGACAATGACAACAATTTACTCATGGTATGATGTGTACAGGTTGAGCTGAAAGAACTTTAAAAAAGGAGATAGAATGCTGATAAAATGTAACGGAACAGCATTGGTGGTTGGGAGAAAGGGGGAGCTTGGGCTGGGGTGACCGCCCGCGGGTTTTTTTCTGATCTTCGATATCAGACATGCCAGTGTCAAGTATATTCGATGGAATGCGAAAGCAGAAGCAACTGGAATAAATTAGGCAGACTGAATTGATTCAATGCCTTGGCACTGTTGTATAGGAAGTGCTTGTCCAGTCTTGGCGTTAACAAGCTCACAGGGTCAGGTGATGTTGCCTAAAATACAGTGAGATTCGAGACAGCCCTGGGATATATCAGAAGATACTTCTCAACGGAAGCGCCCTGAGAAGTTAGGATTGCATCATCCAACTGTGTAGCGCCCGGAGACAGAGCTTATGCACATGGACCCTCCCCTGGCGCGTGCTGATGGCCAGTGAGCAGTCAGAATAGAGTGCTGAAGGATCCATCTTCCCGTCTGTCTCAGGGTGTTGAAGTGGGCCAGTGGCAGAATGTTGTTGTCCCTCCAAGAATAGACATATGCCAATTAAAACCTTGATGGATGAATGCAAAGACATTTCCCAATTTAGAACATCCAAAACAGACCGAACAAAGAGATGAATGGACGAAGAGAAAGCTCCCTCAGCCTTAAAAACACCCGCTCGTGCCTGTCCCGCGTCCCCACCCCTGCCGAACTCCTCTTCTCCCCTCAATGTGTTTCACTTCTTCTTCCCCTTTTTCAATTTCCATTCCAACGTCACTCATTTCCCAGCCAACTTCCTTGGAAAGTTACCACACTCATTCAACCCTATTTCTACCGGTAATCGCGCATTCTTTCTCCATATAATTGTGGCCCCTTTCTTGGTAGATCGGCGGTCAATGAAAGTCTGTCTATTGTTGTTTGCAATACCCCAATGCGCGCCTGAAACACCAGCGCTTTATTGTGATCATATACACGTGGCTTGCAGCCCTCGATACCTGACATCGTGATCAACCTCTCTCCTTGCATTCCGCAGGTATGCGCCACTCGCGCGGTTAACGGTTAATATACTACCATTCCCCTCGTTGCGCCTGAACTTTGGCTCTCTCTACTCTTTACACCTGCTTCAAACTCAATTACGACTTTGCCCGGCTGGCCCGAGGAAGTCGACCTTTGATCGTCCGTGATCCGCCATTCTTTACAATCCTCAGTGACCACTTCGTGATCACTCCCTGGCAGGACCAGGTCAATTCACACAATGCTGTGCGGTGGAGACCGTGAGAAGGGGGATGTGGCGATGGAGGAGAAATGGGACTATGTGGTATGTCCACCCAATGACAGTGTTGTATAGATAACTTGGCATACTGATAACGACTCCCTTAGAACTTGGATGACTTCAAATCTGAGTCTTGCTGGACCCCCTTCTCCTATTTCTTCATATGGTTGTTCCTATTTATCTCGATTGCAGTCTACGGTGTTGATACATTCACTGCAGTCAACTTGCTGGCTTTCTCTCGATGGTCCGGCAGAGTCCAACCCGCCATTCCCTTCAATATCTCCCGGTGGATCTTCGCTGCCTGCATCATTGCTTCTTTCATTCTTTTGGCCTACAGATGGATACATGCCATCCGCTCCATCCGCTCGGGTAGTATTACTCGCAGCTTTCTAGACCCGTTGGCTGTGCGTATCCAAAGTATTCGCCTGGGCAAGCGGGGTCGTGGATACAGGAGATTCCTTGTCTTCGCTGAATTAACGAAAGACAGGAAAGCAGCAGAATATGTTGCTCTGTATGCGTACTTCTCTTTCCAGTGTAAGCATACTACTATTGCCTAACTGATCCTCGAATATAACTAACGGGCTTTTAGTCTGGATGAACACGATCTTCGCAGATGGCCCGCGTCAAGTTCTCAATGCCATCACTCTCTATTCGGTCATGCAAATGGACCTCATTCCCGGGGGAAAGAATGCAGCCCACGACGATGGAACTTCCTCAGTTGATCAATTCTTCAACAACGTCAAGATTTTGGCCGAGGACAACAACCTTCAAGCCGTGGTCTTGTTTGGCATGCTTTTCACCCTGGTCGTTTGGGTCCTATCGGTTCTGAAGTTGATATCGGCTATCGTACTTTATTTGATCTTCCTCTTCCACCATATCCCAGCGGAAGACGGTTCTCTTTCGAAGTACTGCCGTCGGAAGGTCGGTCAACGTCTGAAGCGTATCGTGCACCGCAAGAACACGAAGGCCCTGGCGAAGGGACTCAAATTACAGAATCGAGCACCCACTCAGCCAATGCTGGCCATGGATTCGAACCCGACCCTGCCGTCTTTCGCCGAAGATAAGCACCCCACAGTGGCTTCTTCGTTGTCGCGAAGTACCACTCAGACCACCTTGCCGCCTTACTCGCGATCGGCTTCGATAGCGCCGACGGCCAACCCGACACTGCCGAATCTGGAATTAGATGCCAAACCGACACTAACTCGAACTGGAACTTCATCTTCAGCAATGTCCGAGTCCGCTTCACTGACGAGCAATGCGGCCGGAATGGGATACAGTCCTCTTGATGGCCGGAGGCCGACGCTTCCCCCAGTACCTCCCTTGCCCTCAAACGTTCCGTCACGGATGGCCACTCCTCACTCCCGAGGAACTCCTGCGCCATATGAGAATGATGGTCGTAATAGCCCCGGTCCTGGATATCGCAACTTGACTGATAGCTCTGATTCTCGGTCATATCAGAGTCACACTCCAGCGCCTGATTATGCTTCGGCTGAAATGGACCCTTCCGATTACCACGACTATTTCAACCGTGACGATGCGCCTGCTCACTACGATCCCTACGGGCCTCCGAGGGGTACATTCAGGGAAGATGACGGTTATGGAGGAAGATACGGGACTCCTGGTGACCAGAGAGGCGCGCCTCGCGCACAGCAGGATTACTACCCACAGGATCCATATTCAAACAGGTCCCACACACCGGCTAGCACTGCGCCTGTTCCCTATCGGTCCTACACACCGGCCAGCACTGGCGGGACGCCTGCTCCCTATCGGTCCAACACCCCGGCAAGCCATCGACCCACACCTCCCCCACAAGCCGCATTGGCACAGCCTCCACCAAGGACGTTCACTCCGATGAGTTCGGCAACTCCCGCTCCTCAAAATGGTGGCTATGCAGCTTTCAACCCGTCAATGGTTCACCAAACACCCCAGCCTCGCTCCCATGGGCCTCCCGGTCCAGGCGGCTTTACTCGAGCAAACACCGCTTCCCCCTCGGCCATGCATCGTGCTCCACCTGGGCACACATTCACCCGCTCAAATACTCATCAATACTGATGAGGTTCACCCTGTAGGCCTCATTTGAACGCCATGAGACCTTACTATGATGAAAACCAGGAGCTGGCTCTCCTGTGGTTGATGACCGGATCACTCGCTAATACTGATCACGACCAGCGAGCCTCTCGAGATTCTGTACATACCCCTATTCTCCTGACTGTGATATCCTTAAATTCTTATTCCCCATGACATGAACTATTCTCTTTTTGTTTCCGAATTTACTACAGAGAATGTATAGATAACAAGTAGCTTGGAAGTACCATTGGAATCTTGATATCCCCTTTTATTGCGCGATTCCATGACTCGATGTCAATCAGAAACAGGATGATTTATTATACACCTATACATAAATTACCTATACAATCAACACCTCCCCACAACAAACAGCACCCAATCACCAAATCTTCTTAGCGATCATCTCATACCGCTGTACATGATCAACACTAAACTCCCCATCCTTACTCTTATCCTTTTCCTCCTTCTCCTTCAACCGCCGCAATCCATCCGGATCATCCGCATAGATCAACTTCCGCTTCTCATCACCAACCTCCACAACACCCCACCCACCAACGCGCTGACTACCCTCAACATGGAAATCACGCGAACGAGGTGCCCCACTCTCAGTACCAGACTGGTTATTCGAGGACTGTTTGCGCTCGCTCTCCCGACCCTTCATCTTCCTGTAACGGGAGCGCGCAAAGGCGAGCAGGACCATGCCCAGCAGCAATTTCAGGATGAGCAGGACGATAAACCCAGTCAGTAACAAGATGCCGGTGAAGATATGGACGGACTGGGCTGGAGACGGGATGGCGTTTTCGAGGAGGGTGCGGAAGAACGCGCTGACGTGGGCGGCGGAGGCGGGGATGAGGGTTGCTAAGGTCAAGGGCGGGGCCGACGGGATCGGAGAGGGAACGTAGTGGTTGTGGATTGATGCTAGGGAGGTTGCTCCCATTGCTGTTGAGGAGGGGTTTTGGGGGAGTAGGGCGGCTAGGAACATTTGGTAGGTTTGCACGGAGACCCGGAAGAAGAGGCAGGAGAGAGGGATGACTGGGAGGCCGATGCGGCGGGTTAGGTTTTGTTCGCCGAAGGCGTTGGTGTAGTAGTCCTTGGCTAGCACGTCGAGGAAGCGGCCGTAGATGGCTGGGCGGTTGTTGTTGAATTTGTTGATATAGGCGTGCTTGAGCCAGTCTACTAGCATCTCGGAGCCTAGTACAACTAGAAATGGACCTAGGACTTGGGCTAAGGTCGGGATGAAAGAGTTGACGCTGTGGAAGGATGATAGGATTGAGGATGGGAAGAGGGTAAATGCTTGGGGCAGGATGGATGATGCAGTGCGTGGAGGGGTGGATAGTGGTGTGCTGTTCGTGATTGTGGAGGACTGGCCCGGGAAGCTAGATCCTAGCCCGAGGTTGCCGATGAAATTGAATGCACCTGTCTCCACGATATTACGCGAAGCTATGATAGTAAGCATCAGCCATAGCTGGAACCGTTCCACAACGTCCGCACAGGTAAGCTGGAAGAGGTTCTCTTTCTCAAACTTGCGGAAGACGGTAGATTTAATCTCCACAAATTGGTTTGATAGAAGTAGCGTAATCAATGCGTTGGAGTATGAGTTCACTGCCACATTCAAGGTCATGACCTGGTAGAACAGAGACAATGCATGGGATACTGTGTAAACCAGTGCCACTAGGAACAGCCAGAATGGACGAATGATCTTGCTTCGGCCGTCCGGACGACGCTCAAGAGCCTCCCTCGAGAAGAGACACTCGAGGACATCTTGACCTATGGCAGCTAATAGCCTGTCGCTGACCTCCAGCACATTGTAGATAACATATAGCTTGATAGCAGCCTGTCCGCGAATCCAGTGATACATTCGACTCGCATCGAAGTACATCAAAACACAGCAGGTAGCTATCATCAGCAGGCCTGTCAGAATGTCCGCTTTGTCGTCTGGAAGGAGCGCCGAGGGCATCGACTTCTTCCGTCGATGGTGATACTTGCGGGATTCGGAGGTTCGGTGTTTCCTTCTTGGAGTTTCCGACTGTGACTGTCTGGAGTCTCTATCTGCTGGTACTGTGTCTGGTCCTGCAGACGAGCCCGAAGGAAGATGAGGGGTAGCGTCAGATTCGCTTTCGGGTCTTCCACGCTGGTGGTCTTCCTTCGCATTATGATTTCTCCTGCGCCATACTCGACCAATCCCATTCAGCACAAATTTCCAAATGAACCGAATCTCAGCTCCTAAGTTCATCACCCATGACTCGCCCAATATATAGACAGCTTTGATAAACCGCAGTGGCATTATCGTGAAAGAGTAAAGCCATGCATCGAGGCAAGCAAGACTCCCGAAGCAAAGCACCTGCTCAAGCATAGGTGCAAGCATAATGAAATTCATAAGCCTCTCAATCTTCACTCGTGATGATTCATATGGGAAGTCATTGGCCGCATCACGGTGGATGTACAGCGGTGAAGGCCGACCAGAAGCAAGCTCAAGCTGAAGATAGGTTGGCAGAGAAACTGGCGGTAAAGGGATAGATGATGGCGAGGGTGAGGGCTTGGGCGATTCTACAATCTGAGGTGATGCAACAAGGTGACTCTTCAAATCGCGTTCCAACGCGGGTCGGTCCTGTTTCGGGCGCAACGCCCATGTCTGGGTTAGGCGGTCATTACTTGGGGTAAGGGGCAGTTGACGCCGCGTAGAGCCAGGGGTGGACAATGTTCGTGCTGGCTGCGGCCGATTGCGGAGGGATGAATTTTGAATATTCCGCGGGAAGGCAGGACTCGCCGGTGTAGAAGTATCTCCTGGCAACACTTCTTTAGTGGGCCGCAACTTTGTTAAAACATCAGCGGGTGAAGGCTTTTCGCTTAGTGACTGAAGCGTAACCTCTGGTATCTCCGGTCGTGCAAGAGGAGCATTTCCATGGACGTTGTCCGAGACAACTCGCCTTCCATGGTTCCTTTCTAGTCCCACGGGGCGGTAAGGTATCGACTCTGGCGAGGACGTGAGCTCCTGGATCTTCTCAGGAGATAACTTCATGACCTTGTCTTTATCCTCTGATAGTCGGTGAGACAGATCATTAGACAACTCAGCCAATGACTCGGCTAATGTCGCCTTGACCTTGGGGCCATCGTACACATCAACTACCGACAACTGGCCAATATTATCCCCAGTGTTCGGTGAATGTTCGACCAGGATGCCGAGTCCATGCGCGGATTCTAAATCGGCTATTTTATATGCTCCGTTTGTAAGGTCCCGTTCGGAGGTTGTATCGTGTGTATGTTGCTCATTTGAGCCATCATCTCCATTGATTGGGCGTTCGTCGGCCTCGCCGTTGGACTGCACCACAGTATCTACTCGACTGCATTTCTCCTCAACAGTATGGGGCAACAATTGCTGTTGAGCCTTCGAGTTCCCACTGGCTCCGTTTTGAACAGTATGTTCAGCCATCTTCCGCTGTGACAGAACCTCACTGGTATCTGCGACAGGACTAATTTTGACGACCCAGCAACCCGCGAGAAGCCAATGTGTTCCTTAAAATATCCACAAGCTTGCAGTATCACCTCTCATACCATCAGAAAGTGCAGGGGTCTCCGACTCGCATCGTCTAAATTGGCTCGTGACGAGTGATCAAGCTATGTTTGAAGGCGAAGAGGCGTAAAAAGAGATAGAATCGCAACAATGGCGTAGTTTGTTGCATTAACAATTTTGTTCAACCAGCTGGCACATCCTGAAATAAAAAAAACGAGGCACAGTCTGAGCTGTTTGCTTGTTGATGTCGGCGTTGTCTGGGGGAAGATAAGGATGGCAGGTTATCTGGCAGGTCGGTGAGTCGGAGGTTAGCGCCATCGGTGCTCGGACATAAAAAGTAAAGTAAAGTCACGTGCGCCTGGAATAGGGAGTTTTTTACCCCTGGAAGGGACACATCAACTACTACAACACAACTCAAAAATGTCTCTATTCTTACTACCATCGGAGCTTTTGCTCCTTATAATGCATAATCTGCAATATGCATCCGAATTCAACGCGATGTCACAAACCTGTCGCCGGTTTCACACCATATTCAATCCTGAGCTTTACTTACGATTTGCGAATAGCTGTGAATTCAACCTTCTGCGCCTTGTGGAAACTGGCAATTCAGACGCTATACAAAAGCTAGTGTCTGCTGGTTACAAATTGTTTGATTTTCTAGAAACACCGGAGGATTGGTGGAAGCCATGTGACACGTTCGACATTGACCGTAACTTGAAATCTAAGTCTTCCATGATCATCGCAGCACGGAATGGTCATCTGAAGATTCTTCAGCTTTTTGTTGAAAATCTGCCTTCAATCATTACAAGGTCTGCTCGATCCCGGCATCTTCTGATACACGCGGCCCTACGTGGTCAGTTACATGTAGTCAAGTTCCTAATTGGTCAGGGTGCACCAGTGATCCATGTTGACAAGGCGGGGCGTACTAGCTCGATTGTTGATGCTGCAGTTGTAGGGGGCCATTTGCCGGTGGTTAAATATATAATCGAGGAGATTAAATTCGCGGATCGATCACACAATTCGGCAGATCGTCTTCTTTGCTCTGCCACATCCGCTGGTCATTTGGATATGGTCAAATATCTGGTCAAATGCGGTGCTTCCTTTACTTGCGAACACTTCTACCCCTTTCGTGGCTCGGCCTTCGACATTGCCATGGACGCGGGCTGGGCAGACATAGCATCATTCTTCCTAGGCAATGCGACTCTGGAAGATCTGGATACCATAACTACAAGCGGCTGGAAATGGATGTTGAAACCTTGTAACCAGGATAAATTCGGATATACATTCTACCCATCTGCATGGAAAAAGCCATCCATTGCCCATATGATATTGGACCGAGTCGATCTGGAGAAACAACTCACAACAACTACTCCACTCGAGCAAGCCTATCTGCTTGCAGTGGCGGCAGAGACTGGAAACATGCCTCTTGTTCAACGACTACTTGACAAGGGGTGTAGCCCTGTCTTGTCCGAAT